TTGATCACTTGATAAGCTCTAGGGCAGGGAGAGGCGAGGCCAGGGACATTGCAAGGCCTCTTTTGTGGGGGTCCCAACCGGGCCCTGTTTCAATACCAGTGTGGGAGACGAACATACAGGGTTCTAGGCTAGAACCACAGGCATTACCAGGTTCCGCCTGCTCTGTCCTCTACTGAAGCAGTCCAGTTGAAGGTCTTAGCTTTCTGGGAAGTTGAATAAAAGAAAAACGTTGAGAGAGGTGAACTCAATACTGTGGAGGCCTCAGTAAGCACGTGGGATTACAAGCTTTTGAACAATTGTGGAGGAGATTGTCTTGAGAGATGGGGATTTCAAAAGGAGTGGGTTAGGAGAGGAAGAGGCATTCCTCAGAGGAGAAGTTTTGTGAGTAATCACAGAGGTGGAAATGTGGAAAATCTGTTCAGGGAACAAGAAACAGGTCTTGTTCAGTTGTTGCTAGGAGTACAGGCAGGAGCAGTGGCACTGGAAGCCAAAAAGACTGTTTTTGTCTCCGAGGCACTTTGTAGTTTACAAAGTTCCTTCATTGCCTACCTCCCCAGATCTTCAATACAACCCTAGGAAGTGCAGAGCCATCGTTATTGAACTCATTACACAGGGGCAAAAAAAAAAAGAACAAAAACAGAGCTGGGATTCAGAATGTTGAGGTGACCTACACAAAGCCACAAGACAAGTGAATGGCTGAGCTAGGGTTCTGACCCAGAGTTTGTCTCTGAGCATCTTTTTCCTTGTGACTGGGATCATACTTGGGGCCCCGAGTGACCTGTAATGTGTGGTATGAGTCTGAACTTGGTAGTGGGGAGTCACAGGAAGGTCTTTACAGGAGGCATGATTATGAAAGTGCACCAGGCAAGCAAGTGTGCTGGTTGGAGAAGGACTGCGAGTGCCGCAAGGGAGCTAAATCGCTCTGACAAACAAAGTGGCATTTACAGGTAATGTGGACAGGGCAGAAAGGGAGGAAACAGCTGATGGTGGGCTCTAAAGAGAGTCTGTGGGGAAGAATGGTGATCATTCATTCAATCATTCAATAAATCTTTATTTAGCACCTTCTCTGTGCCAACGGCTGTGCTAGGCATTGGGAGGTGAGGAGGTGATGGTGAACTTGATGACAGGGTCCCTGTCCACACTGGGCTGATATTTCAGGAGACAGCAGATGATAAAGAGCAAATGAACACGTAAAATAATCTCAAATTGTGATTAAATACACTCGTATGATCTTCAGGAACATGTGAGGACATCCACCCAGTGTCATGTGGCCTTCAGGTGGCTTCTCCTGCCTGCCCTAGACACCCCTACCTGTAAGTGTAATGCAAACTGTGTTCAGGGTCCTGTGTGTGTGTGTGTGTGTGTGTGTGTGTGTGGTGGGGGTTAGGGGAGGGAGGCGTCCTCCCTCTGGGAGTGGTCTGAGGAAGGCTTCATGGAAAGGGAAACACTGAAATTGGGCATTCATTTATTCAGCAAATACTTAATGAGCACCTTCAGAGTGCCAGGCTCTGTTCTAGGTGCTAGGGATAATCAGTGAACAAAACAAAACAGACGATGTTGCTATCTTCATGGAGCTACTGAAAGGTGGACAGATAATAAGCAAGATGGGCAAAGTAAAATATTATTTCAGATAGGGATGAATGCTCTGGAGAAAAATAAATTGGGGAAGGGGATACAGTGTATGTGGGACAGATATCGCCGTCTTAGACAGGGTGGCTAGGGAAGGCTACATTGAGAAGACATTTGAATAAAGACCTGAAGGAGGTGAGACAATGAGAGATACAAACATATGCGGGATAGGTGTTCCAGGTGGAGGGACCTACAGTGCAAAGTCCCAGAGGCGGGAGTTTTACTGGGTGCTTTCAGATGAGCAAGGAGACCAGTATAGCTGGAGCAGAGACAGCAAAGGGTAGAGTTGTAGAAGGTGAGGTCAGAGAATTAAAGGTAGGAAGCATGAGGACAGATAGGACATTCATTATAGGCCACTGTAGCTTTTACTCTGAGAGGGGGAGCCATTACCTTGAATGCAAGTTGCCCAAGGCAGAGGTCTGGCCTGGCTCATTTCTGTATCTACCCCAGCATCTAGCACAAGGCTTTCACTTAGAAAATGTCAAGGTGCAATTTTTTTTTTAAAGGAAAGTATGTCAACCGAGGGCATTTGCGTGGCCTGTAGGGCATAGCTTGTATGTGCCCACGTTGATCACTGTCTTAGTGGAACGAGGTGGAAAAGTAGGGCCAGGTGGACAAATCTGGGCAGGAAACAGGTGGATCACTGGGTCTTCAGAGCAGGGGATGGCCTAAGGACGGTGACTGACTGACAGGTGGGCTGAAGGAGAGATGGGTGCAGGAGGCTAATGCAGCCAGGAGGAGCAGAGGCTGTGTAGTAAGTAGAGAGAAGATAGACAGGAAACTTCAGCTGGTAAGCTGGCCAGGACATGAGAAAGGATGAGAGAGAACTTAGACATAAGTGCTAGGTGTTGGGCTGTGTGCCTAGACCAGGGGGACCTATGAACAGAATTGGAGAGGTCTAGAGAGCTGGCTTCTCTCATGACACTTACATGTTATACCTTGCATTTTATTTTCTTACTGCTTTTTCCTTCTTCTCACCTCCAGGGCAGGAAGCGTGTCTTACTCATCTTTGTGTCACCCACAGTGTCCACTGCTGTAGGGCATATAGCAGGTGTTTAGGCAGTGCTTGTGTTATTTTGGATCAGTTGGGTTTGAGAAACAGATGTGCCTGCCACCTTTGATCCCATTATTTCTAGAATCATCCCTTCCCTCCACATGCTGGTTCAGCAATTCCACTCCTCAGTCAGGCAGACGTTATTCCTGGGCCTCTCACTAGCAAGACCACATATGCTTATCAAGGCTTGATGTTGGTCAATCATGAAAGGCTGAACAGTCATAGGCGGAGGCTATGTCAAGTTAGCTAGGCATTTCTGTGGGGCACAAAGGAAGAAGTTTCTCTAGAGGTGAGAGTAGCAGCCACTATAACCAATGCAAACTGTTACCTGCTTCCTTTGTCTCCTGAAGCAGCTGCTACAGGACCCTCCCTTTATACTGCAGGTATCAATAAATCCCTGTCTGGTGGGAGCTGCACTGAAGATTCAACACTCACCCAAACGTTTATTGAGCATCTATTTCCATCTGTGGACAGTTATGCCTTGGAGCAATTGCAATCTACCCTTTTTTCAGAAGTCAACTTCAAGGTCATCTTTCCCCCCAGAAACCTCTGGACACTCCTCAATTCGATTAGGGTTGTCATAGTACCACAGTACCCTTAGCCTAGCATTTATAAAAATGGCATTTAAAATGCTTGTTTTCTGGTCTGCATGTTCTACAAAACTGGAAGCTCTTTGAAAGCAAAAACCTAGCTTTTGTCCACAGCACTTAGCCTGTGGACAAACGCAGGCATCATTTAACTAACAATTGCTGAATTAAATAAGACAGTGATGTAGAGTGCTAAGTACGAACAAAGTGGAGCCGCAGGATATCAGTGGAAGGCTTCTCTTGAGTTCGAACTGGATGCTGGAAGAGTAAGTGGTCAGTTCATCAGGTGGGAAAGAGGTGTGTGCATGGTCAGAAGGCATACTGAAGAAAGGTGTGAACTTTTCTGTGATTGGAGCACAGCGGTATATCTGGGGAGCTAGGGCGCCAGACAGGAAGGGCAGGACAGGATGGCGTACAACCGCGGTCCCATTAGGGTCAAATCCATTAAACACAGGTAATGGCAGCAACCCTAGCGAGAGGACTAAGGTGCTGACCTCCAAATCCCCTGGGAAAGAACCAGGTATCCCACTGGCAGCGCCTCGCACCTCCACCAGCCCACAGCACACACTTCTTGCTCGCTGCCCACCCCGGTCCGCCTGGGGCCGAAAGGGGCTCCCGGGACACCTAGGGAGGGACGCCCAGGGCGGGGCGCGCAGGCGCGCTGAGACCTCGCGCCCCAAGGGGCGGGCGGGTGCGCGCGCTTCCTCGCGCACGCGCGCACGGAGGGGGCGACGGCCTCGGTGACGCTGCTGCGGCGGGCGGGTGGCGACGCGTGAGGCGCGCGATTCCCCGCGTCTTGGGGACAGTGCCCGGGCCCCCGCTGTTCCCGCCGCCGCCATGTCGGGCCGGTCGGTCAGGGCCGAAACCCGCAGCCGGGCCAAGGATGACATCAAGAAGGTGATGGCGGCCATCGAGAAAGTGCGGAAATGGTGAGGGGCCGGGACGAGGGTGCTGGTGGGGGTTCCCGAAACAGGCCCAGAGGAGCGCCGGACTACCGGGCGGGATGGGAGACTACTGGCGGGCGCTTGGGGGGAAGGGGGAGCTAGAGAAGGCGGGAGGAGGGTGCAGCTCGCGTCGGCGTGAGGTCAGAGGGCGCACCGGTCACGACCAATCAGTGGCTCGACCGACTCGTGGCTCCGCCCACCTGCGAGTGGGCGGTGCGTCTCGGAGGAGCTGCCGGCTTCCGGTCGCCTTGGTCAACGCAGTATCGCTACTTAAATCCGTGCATGCGCTGCCTTGGTCTCTCTGTCCTCCAGCCTCTGGAGCCTTTTGCGTTGTGAACTGACCCATATAATAGCAAACAATCTGAGTGTAACCTGTCCTCCACAATGAGCGCTGTACGTATTAACTCGGTTAAGTTTGGTGAGAGGTTCTCGATACCTGTCTGCCACGGAAAGCAAGCGTGATCGTCGGAATCAGAACCCTGTCTTTCCCCTAATACAGGCCCGCACGCTGCGAGCTGGGTAGGCATTTTCGCTTGGTGCCCTGGGAGCTGTTAGAGGAGTCGAGACCTATCTCTGTAAATGACTCATGTCACGTTCATTGCAGGCGCCGGTTGACCGCCTATTTTGTATCAGGAACTCCGATGTATTATCACAATTTTACAGCTAGTTATTTGCGCCAACTTATTGAGTGCTTTTTTTTAGCTGATCACTACTAATAATTTTAAAGGCCGTGTGGTTGTTATCCATCCAAGAAGCCTTCCTCTAGCCCTCCCGCCCTCACCCTCCACCCCCGTTAGGGGCTTTCTTACCTTGGACTTTATTTGCGTGTTTATTTGTCCATTTCCCTACAAAATCAAGTTCCTTATCTCTTTATATCCAGGGGCTTCGTGTATAGTTGGGACCCATTATAAACATAAGTTAAACAATCATGATTTTTCCTCCTCGAAATCTAATCTTCCTAGGTTTTTTTGTGAAACCTAAGAATCGGTACACCTTTCTCTTCTGGGGATCTGTGTCCCCACCAGCATCCTAGGCCAGATGACCATCCTCTCACCCAGAACTCTGTATCCGCTTCCTTATGACCTCCCTGTTTCCTTCAGTTCTTGCTCATTCGCTGGCCCGTTCCTCGCATTGCACTCAAGAGTGATTTGATTTTTCTGAAGTGCAAATCTTATCATAGCACTCCCCTGCTTTGAAAATAATGCTCCAGTGACCTCTTCTTGCTCTTAAGGCCAAACCTGGGCCTTCCTGGCTCAAACTGCCCTCTTTCCCAGTGTCCCTCTTTCCTGCTGCCATCTTTAAAGCAGTTGCAACCACACTACCCGTCCCAGCTGCCTGGTATCCTTCCCCTGCCCTCACTTCCCTCTTGCCTTGTTAACTCCTAGCTCAGCTCAAAACTTGATTCCTAAGGGACACATTTCAAGATTCCCCTGTCTATATCAGGCCCCTTTCATAGAACTTCCCACAATTATGTTAGGTTGAACCATAAGACATATCCTATATTTGACTTTTTAACCTACAAAAATGGCAATTTCATGTGGTTAAACCTAATGGTTAAGTGATTGATTGTGACATGAGTTATTTTATGTCTGTTTCCAACTGGAATGCAGGCTCCGTGAGGGTAAAGACTGCATCTTGTTCCCTGTGTGCCCAGGGCCAAGCACAGGCTCTTTTATAGTAAATGTTTGTTGAATAAATGAGAAAATGGAGTGTCTTGTTCAGGAATTAACTTCCAATATCCTGTCTTTAGTTCATTTGTTCTGTTTCATCACAGTCTCCACATTTCTGTGATGTCATTATTTGCTGAACAGCATCATTGGTAGCAACAGTTACTTTTTTTTGTAATCTCAAATTTGGACCTGAAACTTTCAGAACTTATACCTCAGGCTCCCCACCTCTGCTTGTCCATGATTTACTGCGTTATTCCAGAATATCACTTGCCAGGCCGGCCAAGTGGCGTGTTGGTTAAGAGTTGGCTTGGGAGCGAGAGCGATGAGCAGCAGGGCCCATGGTTCAGATCCCACATGGGCCAGTGACGGTGCGCCCTCTACAGCTAAGATGGTGAACAACAGCTCAACCTGGAGCTGGGTTGCCGGGAGTTGCTAACGATGGCATAGGCTGCAGTGGGGCTGCAGTGGACTGTCGTAAGCCAGTGTGAGCGGCCGGCAGCCGGCATCAGCTGCTGTGAGCCACTGTGAGCGGCCATCTAATGGCCGGCAACCGATCTGCCTCAGCCGGGAAGAGTGCAATGATCACAATACCAACATAGGCCAGTGAAGCGATGTCCTCCACAACTAGACTGAGGAACAAAAGGACAGCAACTTGTCTGTTCCCCTCCCCAATTCCCCAGTAAAATCTTTAAAAAAAAAAAAAAGAAAAAAAAGAATATCACTTGCCTTTCCCTGGGTATGTGCCTGTGCCTGGGGGAGAAAAAAAGCTACTTTTTTTTTTTTTTTTTAAGGCTTATCTCAAAAGTTATTTCCTTCGTAAAATAAAACCTTAAAGCAGTTATTCCATGGCTTAGCCTTCACCTCTTCAAGGAGCCAGTGTAAGGCTTGGTTCTGTTAGCTTGAAGAATCCTGTCCTGCGATTATTTTTAAATGGGATCGTGTTTCAACCCAGAGTTCCACAGGAGTCATAGGAGTTCTCCCCTTTATGAGATATCATAGTCTTACTGTTTTTCAACCTTCTCTACTAATTTGCCACCTTCGTGTATTACAATAATTTCCTTATCTTTTCATTCCTATGAGTTCCCAAGGTAGGGGCCATATCTTATACATCTTTTATATCCTGCAGAGCTTTGTATAGTAGGGCTTTATAAGTATCAATGTAATTGAATTAATTTTTGGAAAATAAGTGATGCCAGGTAGATACCTGAGTTTGAAAATGTGCTGCTACTCGATATTGGTGTAGTCTGTGAGCGAAAAAGATTTTGGTACACTGTATGTAAGGAAAGGTGGCAAGTAGAGAGTTCAGAGCCAAAGATATTTAACAGAGAAGTTTTTCTGGAAGGGAGAAATTTTTGCTGAACAGTAAGGTATAATTTGACAGAGGAAGTTTAGAAGGCATTTAAGATTAAAGGAATGATCTGCTGAGACATAGGAAAGCACAAGTTATGAACAGAAAATCTATTTTATTGTTATCAGTCCTAAGAAGTGTCTTTTTTTTTCTAGGGAGAAAAAGTGGGTGACTGTGGGTGACACATCCCTTAGAATATTTAAGTGGGTTCCTGTGACAGACAGCAAGGAGGTAAGTGTGGAAGAAAATCCCAACAACAAAAAGGTACCGTTTTCTTTCTCTGTTTTTGATTGCCTCTTAACTATAAAGAAATATATTTTCCCAGATTGAGTTGAAGGCACTCTGTCGTTGGTCCACACAAAGCCTCTTTTTATTATTTATTCTCTTTATTTCCTTTCCTTAACCCATTCCTCTTTTCTAGGGCTTGGTGAACTACAGGCCAGGCTTGCGCCCTGTGATTGTCAGTATAGCTTAATTCGAACTCAGCTATGCCAATTGGTTTCCTTATTGTGTGGCTGCTTTTGAGTTACAGAGGCAGAGTTGAATAGTTGCCATAAGACCTAATGGCCTGCAAAGTGTAAAATATTTATCTGGCCCTTTAAGACAAAGTTTGCTGACTCCTGCTCTTATCCTGTTAGCTACCCACTGTAGTGTATTTTTATGTGTTTTATACGCATTTGTATATATGCCTTTCTGATTCCTCCATGGGTTTATTTGGACACCAGTGTATTCTTGAAAAATACAAAGCATTGTTTCATACTGGTATTTAAACATTTACATCTATATATAGCATTGTGCTATAAACCTCTGTTTCTTCTCTTGTTCAACCTTGTTTTTGAGAACTTTCCATGTTTCTATAATTGTAAATAGACTTAACTCGACTCTTGCATCGTATTCTCTTATATACAGTGACCATATTTGTCTACGTATTCCCTGGGTAATAAAGCACCCAGATTGTCTCCAACTTTTTTTCCTGATTGTTTTGAAAAATCTCAAATACAAAACATGCAGAAAAGTATATAAAACATAAATGTACAGTATAGTGAATAAATATAAAGCTAATTCCCTTGTCGTAAAAACCCAGGTCAAAAAATAGAGCATTGCCAACTCTCCCAGATGCCTCTGTGTGACTCTTCCCAGCATCTTGTTCCTCTCCTCTACAGGAAATCATGCTCCTACTTTTGCTTTTTTTTACCCCTGCTCTAGTAATTTGTAAACATTTTAAACTTTATATAAACAGCATCACGCAGTGTCTATTTTTGTGGGCCTTGCTTTTTTTGCTCTGCGTTATGTTTATAAAATTCATCCATGTTGTCTTTGAAGCTGTTTGTGCCTTTTTGTTGCTGTATGGAATTTCATTATAGGACTATACCATAATTTATCTTTCCAATTCTGCTGTACATGGATGTTTGGATTGTTCCTAGTTTGGGATACTAGGAACAATGCTCTGTGAATATTCTAATTCAGTATATGGGTCAACATGTGCATGCATTTTCCTAGGACATATTCCTGGGAGTGGAATTACTGGGTCTTAAGTAGGGTCTGTGTGTTTTGACCTATACTAGCTAATGCTAAACCATTTCCCAATGTGAGTGATTGTACCTGTTTATGTTCCCACAGTGGGAATTCTGAGAGTTCTCACTGCTCCAAATCCTCATCAATAATTGGCATTTTAGACTTATATGTAAAGATATCTCATTGTGGTTTTAATTTGATGACTGTAATTATTAATGACATTGAACACTTTTGCAATGTTTACTAGCCTTTTTGGGTGTCCTCTTTTAGGAAGTCTCTAAGTCTATTTGGTTGTAGTATTTTTCTTATGACTTGTAGGAATTCTGTGTGTTCTGGACACAAATGCTTTAAATTATATACTACCCATATATACGTCTTCCATCCCATGGCTTAACTTTTACTCTGTTTATGCTGCCTTGAGTAACAGAAGTTTTTAATTTTTTTTTTTTAAGATGTTTATTGGGGAATTAGGGGATGGGAACAGCGCTGGGGAATTGGGGGAAGGGGAACAGACAAGTTGCTGTCCTTTTGTTCTTCAGTCCAGTTGTGGAGGACGTTGCTTCACTGGTCCAAGTTGGCACCATCATTGCTGTCTTCCCGGATGAGGCAGATCAGTCGCTGGCTTCTGGACAGCCGCTCACAGCGGCTGCTGGCTACTCACTGT